AGGCTGGTCTTAAACTCCTGGCCTCAGGTGATCCAACCACCTCGGCCTTATCTTCTGCTTGATTTAGTCTGCTGTTGAAGTTCTCTAGCATATTTTTTATTTCCTTGATTGAATTCTTCAGCTTTAAGATTTGTTTGGTTCTATTTTTATGAGATCTATCTTTTCATTGAATTTCTTAATCATATAATGAATTGTTTTCCTGATTTTATTAAATCATTTATTTGTATTCTCTTGAATCTATGTTTTTCAGCTCACTATTTTATTTCATTTTCATCCTTATTATTTTTTGAGACAACGTCTCACTCTGTCTCCCAGGCTGGAGTGCAGTAGAGTGATCTCAGCTCACTGAAACCTCCACCTCCCAGATTCAAGTGATTCTCCTGCCTCAGCCTCTCAAGTAGCTGGGATTACAGGTGTGCACCATCACACATGGCTAATTTTTGTATTTTTAGTAGAGACAGGGTTTTGCCATGTTGGCCGGGCTGGTTTTGAACTCCAGACTACAAGTGATCTGCCTGCCTTGGCCTTGCAAAGTGTTGGGATCACAGGCATGAGCCACCGCACCCAGTTCAGCTCATTACTTTAAATCACTTTTCAGACAGTGTGTAATTTCTGCTACTTTGAGGCCAGTTACTGGAGAAATAAGGTTGCCTTGTGGTACCATGCTTCCTTGCTTTTTCATGTTTCTTGTTCCGTGCATTGATGTCAGGACATTTAGTGATGTAGTTACCTTTTTCAAACTCTAGAAGGGGAAGCCACCTCTTCCCCTACTTTCAGTTGCAGGTGGATCTGAGGCTGCCAGTTGGGCAGGGTGGCTCTGATTACATGTAGGCACAGTGGGGTTATCTTTGTGCAGCTTTGTTAGTTGTGATCAATGTCAGCAATGAATGTAGGTGCCTCAGTGGTCTAGTTTTTAGGAATTTGTGGAAGTGGTGGTAGCTGCATAGGTTGCTAGGGCAAAGGCTTAAAAATTCTCCTGTTCTTCTCCTTCCCACAGTAAGGAGTCTTAGGTGAAGAGATCTATTTTTGTGTTTGGTCTAATATGGCCCACAGGCAACTATAGAAGCACTGGGAGCCAGGGCATAGGTGATCAGAGTAGCTGTGGATATAGGTAATAGGCTCAGTGTCTTGTGAGACTACTGTAGCACCTTGGACTTGAGGCACAAGTTCACTTTCCAAGGCACAAGTGAATGCGGTTTCCCCAGTAAGCCAGGGTCTGTTCCTCTGAGACATATCTCAGTGGCTTAGGCTCAGACTGCTGAAATATAGCTGAGGTTGTGACCCTGGTGGACATGGTACACCACTGACATAGCTTGGTAGAAAAAGGAGCTCTCTAGAAGCTTGGGCCCAGAGAGCAGAGAACAGCTGTAATTTGGGACCAGGAGTCACCAAAGTCAGCAAAAGCGTAGACCCTTGATGATGAGGTGTTATGTAGTGGTGACTATGGACCCTGGAATGGTGGGACATACTACTATCCCAGGCTCTATAAGGCCAGGTACAGCAGCAGCAATGATGCAGAAATGGCAAGACACTGCTGTAGCTTGGACCTTGGTGGGAGGTGTCCAGCACAATGACTCTAGTCCCCTAAGAGGCAGTGTGTCTCAGCAGTTCAGACTGCAGGGATATAGCCCAACTTTGGGTAGGCAGGACATGTGCCTGTTTGGTCTGGATGGCTGGGTGGCACAGCTCAAGCCAGGCACTGATTCTTTGGGATATGAGTTGCCATATTTGTTTGGCCCAGGAAATCATGGCTATATGGGTCAGTGGTGCCTCTGGATCCCTTTGGGGTAGAGTACTGTATCAACTATGGCACTGGGGTGTGCAATTGCTCTGGTGCGCCAAAGGCTCTGAGCCCCTGTGGGTAGTGTGCTGTCTTATCTGTGGTGTCAGGGCTGGGGGTTGACTGCTGTAGTGTGCTGGAAGTTTGTGATACCCTGATGGTGGTGGTGGGGTATGCTGCCTCATCTGCGACATTGAGGGGCATGCCTGCTCTGGTGTGTAGAAGATCTGAGATCCCAGGTATTGAAGTGCCATTTCAGCTCAGCCCAGAGAGGAGGGTTCACAGTAACTGGAATGTGGGGAATGGAGTAATTCCATGGAACTTGCCCCTAGGGGTAGGATGTAGTAGCAGCTTGGCTGGAGAATGGTGTGCTATTGAATGGGTTTGTTGCAGTGGTAACAAAACATCAGGGATGGGGGGTGCGATGCATACTCACCCTTGGAGCAGGATACACTTGTTCCCAAGACTGTACAGGGCAGTAGCAGCATGAGCCATGAGGCAAGGGATAGGGGCTGAGAAGAGGAGGGAGGGGCACAGCATCAGTTCTTTCTCTAGGGAGAACTTAGTATGTAGACTCTGGGAAGCTCCCTCAGCTGGCCTCAAACTCTGTAAGGACTGCAGAATTCTCTCGTGCAAAGACTGTGTGTATCCGTGTTGCTGATGAAAGCTGTTGGGGTCTTCTGGCTTACCTTTTCCCTGCAGGAAGGGGTCTCTTCTGATTTTGAGCTGATCCCAACTAGGGAAATGGGATGGCAGATGCAAGGTATTTCCTCTCCTTTCCTATGTGGCCATCCTGTGTTTCAGTAGTCTACAGGAATTCTGCTGCTGTTCTCCAGAGCCTTCCTTTAGTTATTTTGATCAAAATGTAGTTGCTTATTCATTATTTTCAGTTTTTTTGTGGGAAGTGGGAATAGCACTAGAAGCTGTTTAGTTGACCGTCTTACTGATGTCACCAAGATGGATCTATTTTTATTTTATAATGTTAAAATATGATATGTATAACTGGTCATAATTTATATTTCATATAGAGTCCTTACTTGTTTTTAATCTCCCCAAAAGGGTTCTATATAAATCATCTTCAATTTCTAGACCCTTAGTAGTAGCTTTTGAAGTAGTATAAAAATGTAACTTTTCAAGGAAATTAAAACTATCTGCATAATGTTAAAGAAAATATCAAACGTTGAGAACTTTATGTGATATATTCAAAGACTGGATACATATTTGCTTATATTTATAGAATGGAAAAAGAACTAGTAATTCTATGGGCTATAATTTTATGTCAATTTCTACCTAAAACAGAAATATGAATTATTTTAAATAATATTCCTGTCCTTAATCCCTTGGATAAATATTTCACAAGTTTGGCATTTTAATATCTTTGATGACAAATACATAAGACTAAAGAATTCTTTAATCTGAAAAAAACACAAATTATTAGAGTTGTCAACAGAAGTATAGAGAATACCCTGTTAATAAATGTGTTAATTTATCTTTTGAGGAATAGTGAATCTGGATTTAGTCTTTAGCTGCAATACCTATTTGACGTTTGAATGTAAAAAAATATAACTCAATTTTCTAGTGGCTTATTGATCCAGTCTCATTTCTTTCTAACCTACTATTCAAATACATTGTTTGTCTATTATTTGGCTTAGGAAAATTAGCTTACATAACTCAAAAAATTAAAATAGCATAAATGAGCTCTTTATTCCACTAAAATCAATTAAATGTATAGCTGGCATTTTGTAAATAAAATTTCTTTAAACAAAAAATGAAGGATGCTTCAGTCCCTCTTTTAAAAGACAGACAATTTGGCAGCTTCCCAATTCATCATCTCTGACTTCTCCTTGATAGTTAATCTATGAAGCAGAGGGAAAAAAATCTCTTCCCAGAACTGCATCAGTCTTCTCTGACTGGTGCACTGTTTTTGTTTTGTTTTGCTGTTTTTCCTCTAGTGTGTGCCAATTTTTAGTCTAAGAAGATGGAAACAATAAAAAAATATGGTGATTAGTGAAGTAGAGGGAATTAATATAAAATGACTTCTTTAATAATGAGATGTATGATGTAGAAGAAGATAATTATTAAAAGTTAAAAACATAATAATTTGCTTCAAATTCCTTGAAAACCTAAGTAGTAGTTAGACTAAGGTGATTATAGAATATCTGCTGTGAAAATAAAGCACTCATGATTTTTAGTGTCACTCTTTTCTTTTTATTTTTCTAGTTTTTAAAAAGTTATATGAACCTATAGTTTTATTTCACATTTTTTATTTATTTATTTTTATTTTTTTAAACTTTATTTTTAGTCTCAGGGATACATGTGCAGGTTTGCTATATAGGTAAACTGGTGTCATGGGGGTTTGTTGTGCCAATTATTTTATCACCCAGGTATTAAGCCTAGTACCCAATAGTTATTTTTAATGTTCCTCTCCCTTCTCCCACCCTCCACCTTCAGGTAGACACCAGTTTCTGCTGTTTCCTTCTTCATGTTCATGAATTCTCATCACTTCGCTCACACTTGTAAGTCAGAACATGCAGAATTTGTTTTTCTGTTTTTGTGTTAGTTTTCACTTAGTTTATACATATCAAAGATGACCAGCATTGAGAGCTTATAAGATTTGTCATTTGTATAAGTACCAGGTAGAATGTGGAAAGATAAAAATCTTTCAGATAACTATGATTTCAAGACAGCAAGATTCAACATTGCCATCTTCCTTTGCCCAACAATCTTCAATTCCTGTTGCTCCATTATTCAAAACTCATTCAGTCTAGAACTAAGGGTGGCAAATATGAGCACTTCTTGGAATGATAACATTTTAGGTTGATAATTGTGGTTTCTAACATCATCTTTTTGAATACTAGTGCCATATTTTGTTAGAAAGTAAGAGAAGACACTTTGTACTTCTGGGACTAGGCACACTGACAATAAAAACAGATCAGGAACAGTGGGTTCAGTGGCAGAGGACAGAGGGCAATCTCACAGGCTTTATACGTTTACTAGAGCTGGCTCCATTCACCTTAGTCACAGAGTATTTAGACATGTCTTTATATGTTCTCCTGGTCTGCATTTTTTGAAACTCAAGATTTTCTAAACATTTTATTTGTGACGTAATGTTTTCCCTTGTACTATTTCTCCCTGCCCCAAAACTGATTGGTCTAATTTGTTTTTGAGATTTTACCCATGAAGATACTCAGGGAGAGAGAGAAAAAAAAAAGCAACTTACCTGGTATTTTCATTATTTTAATTGTACTCTGAGTCTCAGCTTTAGAGGGAAAAAAAAAAGAAAAAAAATCAATACAATTAAATGTTGACTATCGGATGTGTTCTCACAATTGTTTCAGGTGGTAAATGAGTATAAACTTTAGCTAATTTCTGATTCACTGTTTTCAAATCATAAAATCATGATTCTTCCTGATTACAAGAAGGTTTTTTTTTTTTTTTTTTTTTTTTTTTT